ATTCTACCCTGCTTGGGCTTTTGCTTTGCCAATTTGGGTCCTTCGTATTCCCATTTCAGTTATGGAGTCTGTATTATGGATCATTTTTACGTATTACACCATAGGCTTTGCACCTGCTCCTGCAAGGTAAGTTAAAAAACCGCGCAAGTTTTATGAAATCTTTATCATGATTCTCTTTTGTTGATGAACTATCTATACTTGTGCAGGTTTTTCAAACAATTGTTGGCATTCATTGGTGTATATCAGATGGCGCTTTCTTTGTTCCGTTTCATTGCAGCACTTGGAAGAACTCAAGTGGTCGCAAACACACTAGGAACTTTCACCTTGTTGATGGTGTTCGTACTTGGAGGCTTCATTGTAGCAAAAGGTCCATAGTTCATTCTTTTATTCACTATGTTAAGTAATCTTTTTTGCTAAACATGTTTGAAATTTTTTTTAAGTTACATTTTGGGGAGGATTTTAGTATAAAAGTTTACTTTTGTGAAAGCAAGTCTTTACTTACTTTCCAAACAAGTACTTTTTCTTATTTAAGGCTCACCCAGACTTGATCTACAAAGTTTTATTCAATGCTGAATTATTTAGTTTAATTTGACTTGTAAAAACTTCATTTATTCGCCATTTTGCATTTCACAGATGATATTCAAGATTGGATGATATGGGGATACTATGTTTCTCCTATGATGTATGGACAAAATGCCATTGCCATCAATGAGTTTCTTTCTGAGAGATGGAGCGCAGTAAGATCTCTTGATTCTTATCTCCACATGCCAATTTGAAAGCAAAAAATACAATATTAATATTCGTTTTCTATACTTCTCTTTATGCAGCCCACTGAAGGACGTGAAAATACCGTTGGAAAGACTCTTCTTCGAGACAGAGGTTTATTTACAACAGAGTCATGGTACTGGATATGCATTTTTGCTCTTTTCGGATTCTCTCTTTTGTTCAACGTTCTGTTCATCGCAGCATTGACATTCTTAAATCGTGAGTAAAACATTCATACTAGATATTTTGAATTCTATGCTGTGGTAAATAATAAAGAAGTCTACCTCTTAATTGTGTCCTGTTGAACAATCAGCTCTGGGGGATAATAAAGCTGTCATAACGGACGATGGAGAAGAAGAAAAGAAGAATAAACGGCAATTGATATCAAGTGCTGAAGGTTTGTGGTTTCTTAGAATAATTTTTCTCACCTAATGGAAGGTAGTGAGACATATAATTGCTTGATCATAAGAACTAAAATATTTGCACGACACCTTTATTCACCTACTATATAACGATAACTACAGATGTTCAAATGAGTGTGAGAAATCCCCATGGAAGTATTGGAACAGTAAACAATGAAACAAGAAAAGGGATGGTGTTGCCTTTCGAGCCCCTCTCACTTGCTTTCAACCATGTGAATTACTACGTCGATATGCCAGCTGTGAGTCTCTCACTCCAAACCTTTATTCATAGTGTATATGCTCCATCTATGACAAGTTTTCTAACTTGGTGAAATCGTTTTATATCAGGAAATGAAGACTCAAGGGGTTAACGACGTAAGACTGCAACTGTTACGAGATGTTAGCGGAGCTTTCAGGCCAGGTGTTCTAACAGCATTGGTTGGTGTCAGTGGAGCCGGAAAGACTACCTTAATGGATGTCTTGGCTGGTAGAAAGACTGGAGGATATATTGAAGGAAGCATAAGTATTTCGGGTTTCCCAAAGAACCAAGAAACATTTGCACGAGTCAGCGGTTACTGTGAACAGAACGATATCCATTCACCTTTTGTTACTGTATACGAGTCACTCCTTTACTCTGCATGGCTACGCCTTGCTGCTGACGTGACAACAGAAACACGAAAGGCATGTAACTGTATAACTCTGTCTTAGAAACACGTGTGTATCATAGAAACCATTCATGAGCATTTTTGTCTGACAGAGTTTTTCTCATTTCAGATGTTTGTTGAGGAGGTAATGGACTTAGTTGAGCTTAATCCCTTGAGGAATGCTCTTGTTGGACTTCCAGGAGTAGACGGTCTTTCGACTGAACAGAGAAAGAGGCTCACCATTGCTGTAGAATTGGTTGCCAATCCTTCCATAATCTTTATGGATGAGCCCACCTCTGGACTTGATGCTAGAGCTGCTGCAATTGTCATGCGTACAGTGAGAAACACAGTGGATACAGGCCGAACAGTGGTCTGCACTATTCACCAGCCTAGCATCGACATATTTGAAGCTTTTGATGAGGTATAGTTTCACTTGTAAATTGTCTCAATAGTTAAATCTTCGACCCTTGTAAAGCTGCATTTTATTTGACACTCGTACATTGATTTCTCCTTGCAGCTACTGTTGATGAAGAGAGGAGGACAAGTCATTTATGCCGGACCTCTTGGTCGCCAATCCCATAAGCTCGTCGAATATTTCGAGGTGAGTTTTGCTCTCTTGTATGATTTTGCTGCTGTTTTATTCGGTCAAAGCTCATTCACAAGCTAATAAAGTTTTATTATCCTTTAAACAATAAGCTGATACATGATTTTATTCTATTTACTCATGCAGGCTGTACCAGGAGTTCCCAAGATCAAAGAGGGTTACAATCCAGCAACTTGGATGTTAGACGTCAGCTCCAGTGCTGCTGAGTCTCAACTCGATGTTGATTTTGCCGAAATTTATGCCAACTCTGATCTTTATGGGTGAGTGATAGATGACACAGTACCCATAGTATTAGACCTGACTATACAGTTTCTTCTTCCTTATTATTGTCTACTGTTTTAGAATTTTTTTATCATTTTCTTAATTTTCCACTTGCAGGAGGAACCAAGATTTAATAAAGGAACTTAGCACTCCTGCACCAGGCTCGAAGGATCTCTACTTCCCTACACAATATTCCCAATCCTTCTTGATTCAATGTAAGGCTTGCTTCTGGAAACAACATTGGTCATACTGGAGGAACTCGCAGTACAATGCAATTAGGTTCTTCACAACAGTTGTCATAGGAATTTTATTTGGTGTCATCTTTTGGCAAAAGGGTGATCAAATGTAAGTCCAACATTTCATTCTTGAAGCTTACTTAGTCATTGTCTAAACATTTTTAAACTGTGGTTATGGTCATATATTACATTACCTAACAAAAAGCTCAAATCTAACTCTCTGTGTTCTTCAAACAGAAATAGACAACAAGACTTGCTCAATCTGTTGGGAGCTACTTATGCTGCAGTTCTTTTCTTGGGAGCCACTAATGCTTCTGCAGTTCAATCTGTTGTAGCAATTGAAAGAACAGTATTCTACCGTGAAAGAGCTGCAGGAATGTACTCAGAGTTGCCCTATGCATTTGCTCAGGTATGAAATGGAAAATCTCACTACAGGTTTTTAAGTTAATATTTAACTAATCACTCAATCTCATAACTTATATCGCAATTCTAACTTGTTTTCACTGTTTATCAGGTGGCTATAGAGACTATCTATGTTGCAATTCAGACCTTTGTTTACTCTCTACTACTATACTCCATGATTGGATACCACTGGACTGGAGAAAAGTTCTTCTATTTCTACTACTTCATATTCATGTGCTTCACCTACTTCTCAATGTATGGTATGATGGTTGTCGCATTGACTCCGGGCTTCCAAATTGCTGCCATTGTTATGTCCTTCTTCCTCAGCTTCTGGAACTTGTTCTCCGGTTTCCTGATCCCCCGTCCAGTACGTATTCCTATTTCCACCACACAAAATAACTTTTCAAAATATGAAAACTATACTTCCTATTTCAATAATTTACTACTAACCTGGTGTACAAATTCTTTCAGCTTATCCCAATCTGGTGGAGGTGGTACTACTGGGCTTCTCCTGTTGCCTGGACAATATACGGTATTTTCGCATCTCAGATAGGCGATCAGACAGGCGAACTTGAACTCACTGGCAACACTGGTAGAGCAAGGATTAATGATTTCCTTAAGGACTACTTGGGTTATGAACATGATTTCCTTATACCAGTGGTTTTTGCCCATGTTGGTTGGGTGCTTCTCTTTTTCTTTGTGTTTGCCTATGGCATCAAGTTTCTTAACTTCCAAAGGAGATAGAGAAATTCAAACTTTCAGGGGTGTGAACTTATACCATACAGTTTAAATGTATATCAGTTATGCAGCTCAGCAGATTGGAGAAAACCAACTGTTTACTTCTCCATTTTTCCTTTGATTTACTTTTGGTACAAGTGTAGTCTGCCTGGTTTGATTTCTTATTCAATGTATAAATTATTCTTTTTGTGTTGGTGAATTTTGTAATGCTTCTGTATCATATAAGTAAATGAGATACTTCTGAAATATTTATTCTAATGAAAGATTAGATTCGAATCTTGCGAGGAGCAATAAAGTTTTACCTCAATTTTATGAATCACTTTTTCTCCTACCCCTTGGAAAATTACAGTTTCCACTTCTTATTTTCTCTTTTAGAGTATCTGCAATGTTTAAGCAATTACTAAAATATGGAGTGAATAATTTCTACTACAATTCTTTTGTTACGGGATACAATACTATTATTTAGGGTTGGTATTTTTTCTTTAGACAAAGGTCCCTAAGGAAAAATACCTTGTTCCAAATAGTACCAATTATTAATTAATCGAAAACTTACACTTCGAGAAATCTCTATGGTGCATGTTCAATTCAAAATAATTTGCCTACCAAAATTTATGCTATTTAAGAATAATTTACCGATAAATTTATTTATTCATGTTGTGTAGATACGAACATCACCAAATTTTTATGAAGCCCAAACCTCAAATTTTACCTATTTGACTTGCCCTTGTTTTGCCCTTCTTCTAAGACGTTACCGTAACAAGCACATAATGTCCATCATAACGTCGATGGATTTTATCAAATTGAATAAGTTTCAAGATTTCCAATTGAACGGGTTACATTTGCAAAACTACAATTATTGCTAATCAAGCAAATGATTCGTGGTGAAGACAGGACACAATTGGACAAAACAACAGAAATATATATATATATATATATATTTGCGAACTCGTACAAGATTTCGTTTGTGTTAAGCATCAGTATGGAATAAAGAAAATTCCAGTATAAAAATACATAGAATCTACTCTCATTTCCTAGCGAGAAAAGTGCAAGTGATAAACTTGGAATTGGGATCCAAAAGAAAACAAAATCCAGTTACTGTTCTGATCCCAAATCAACTGGTGTAGGTGAAGCCAAAAACAAGAAGTTTCAGTGAGTGACTGGACAGAAGCAAAAACTAACCATCACATATTTGAAACACACCATCAGTACTTTATCAGCAATACATCCTATGATCATCTATGCTCTCCTTTAGTATTTAAAGGTGCATCTGCGATGGACTGAATCTCCCTCTTGCTCCTCACCACACATCGTTTCTTGGTGATGAAGTCAAGTTTACCAAGATCCTCTAAAAGTCCCAGGTAAAAGTACAAGAAGTTTTCTTCCTTCTCTGCAGTTACTGTTTGTGTTTCTTCACTACAACTTCCTTTCTCACTGGACATAACTTGAATGAATTCAATCCTCCCATGCTTAGTCTCGAGATAATTTTTATGCAATCTCTCTGCCTCTTGTAACCCAGAAAGTGTGCCATTGAATATTGCCAACATTACACTTTGATTTGCAGGTTTACCGATGCAGACCTTACTAATGTTCCCAAATCCCATGTCTACAAGGGGAAGGAAAAAAATTACGCAGATAATGAGCACATGAAGAAATTCAATTGTAAACTATTTGAATTAAAAGTCTATGTTAAAAGAGAATATCAAAAACAACCAGGCTTTCTCCAGTAAAACAGACTTGCAAATTAGAAGTTTTCAGGACAATAATAAGCTTAAGCTGACTTTACAGGTTTAAAGGGCCTATATCTGTATGCCCATGTGTTATAAAAAAAATGATGTCAGTTTTAAAGGAAAAGATTTTAAGCACTCCATCATTAAACTATACATTATCATGTAATATTGTTATCCGGATGTATATAGTTCTTCGCACAAACAGAGCAAAACTCTTCACTGCCAAAGCAAGAAACACTGGTATTTGAAAATTGAAAAAGTAGGGTACCGTCTTTGAAGGACAAATTGACAAGCTTTAAAATATATTTGTCCAAGATGAATTTAATAATTATTAATATTTATATTATATACTGCTACAGAGAAATAAACACATACCCGTTCTTGAATTTACATGCAAGATATCAGGTATTAGGTTCCATAGCAGAGGAATTTATAACACAAAAATCACTAGGCTTTAGCATTTGATAAAGGGCATATTTTAATTCTACAAGCACCGAGACTTTTCATCAAAAAATTGTTTTTGCATCTTTCAATACCCTAACATGGTAACAAGATATAGAAATTAAGTAAGTATGAAACTCTTGAATCATCTTGAGTTGGGAGCAATAACCAACATTTATGTAAACACATACGATTGTACAGTTGCACACTCCCGCAGAATTGACCAGATGCTGTTCAACTACAACTTACGAGAAAATTCATCTTAATGTTTAGGTTAAGAGAAGTGGGGGAAAAATGGAAGTCACATATTGTATATAATTTCAACTGAAAAAAAAGATGAGCAAACACATTAAAGAAACGGGATCATTCAAGATAAAGAAATTTACCTTTGAGCTTGGACTCTAGAGCTTCAGTGGATAGAATAACCTGCTCATCAGGATATTTTTTTCCTATAGTACTGTTATGAATGATCACAAGTGGTGGCCAGATAATGAGGTCTTCTTTAATGGATGAAGTTTCAGCATCAGACATGACCTCAGAAAGCCACTGACTATTAAAATCCTCTGCACTTTTCCATCCCATCAGTACGCAAAGTGCTTTGTGCAATCCCAAGTGTTGCGTCCTGAGGCCAACCTTGGTGGATGTGAAGGCATGCATTGCCAAACTTTCTGTGTCCGCAAACGTGTCTGATTTGCTGAAACAGCATTCAGCTAAAACAATCAATTCAAGTCAACTCAAAAGGAACATATTGTAATAGTTTGCAGGTGAACTACAAAAAACAACATGGACACCAATTAGATGGGAGGTAAGATAAAATTCATCAGATGCAAAATAGATTCTTAATGAGGTTATCAGATAAGATAGATAGGGTTCCTCCAAGGTTTGCAAACAATTTAGTTTCTTTCAATGGGAGAATCCTTATATATATATATATATAAAGAGAGAGAGAGAGAGAGCTATTGAAATTACTTTATTTGATAACAAAAATCATCTACAGCAAGAAGATCATCCAAAGGGGGAAACTATCCACATGAAAGGAAGAGAAGGGTAGAAGAGACTGTCAGGCAGGACATCAAGAAAGAGTCAATATTTCTGACTCAGTAAAAGTTTTTTCATTCAGCAAAAAGGATGCTTCATCAGAAATCTCCTCACCTTAGTTAGAACAGCAATGAATGTACTTGCAACATTCCAGATATATATTGTTAACAGTACCGAACAAAGAAAACATCAGAAATTGCCTAACATGAAATCCTTTTCACCAGGAAAGCCAACAAATCAAAACTTTTTACATGCTATTTTTTCCAACTACAAGAATCTTAAAAGTAATGACTCAGTAAGGCTCGTAATCACTCTGATCCCAAAGTTTATATGTAAATATAATTGTATAATAAAGATATAGAATTTTATCTTTATCCCACCATGTGAGATTCCTTCAAGTTGAAGGTACATGGCATGACCATAGACATGCTAACTCAGGTAAATCATGATTTCAAAGTAGAAGCAGTCAACCAAGGTAGAGGAACCAAATACTACTAAATAGGGCCTTTTATTTTGCTTACAGCTATCCTAGCCTTGTCCTACTATATATTTCATTAATGGCAGATCTTTTATGCTTTCCCTCTCCATCCTGTGGGCAGAAAAAATCTTCCGCTCCTTCCCCACCGAAACCAATTTGTCACAACTCAATCAGTAATTATGGCACATAACATTCATTTGCTGACATTCCTCTCGCTCAATCAATCGAGCAGAAGATTTCTATTTCCATTCCTTGTTTCTTCACCTCTTCCCAACTTCTAATCAGTATCCATGAAATTCAAAATTTCGTTCCTTATTAACGTAATATAACATCCTGAAGTAAAGAACAGCCTCAAACACTGGTATTTGAGGTATCCTTTGATCAATAACTCAAAAGACAAAGTGTAGCTCAGAATGCAGCAGACAGACTAAACGTGTGCCAAGATGCAAAAAGCTTACACTGTTTAGTAACCATAATTTCTCCAGCAACAGAGTTCAGGAAGTTCAAACTATTGAACTTCAGACTTTCACTGTCAAATAATTAAAAATTTAATTTCTCAATACTTTCTCTATGGTTTGCATCCACAACTGCAAAAATTCATGAAATGCAGGATATACCAAAATATTCTGAAAGAGAGCCTGATGGGGTGGTTCCTCAGGTAAGCAACGGCATGAGATCAGTAACATAAAAATTATTTGATTGAAGCACAAGAAGAAAGAATAAGTTCAATGAAAATGGGGGAGTAGAATATGCCCCGTGTTATAGAACACAGACCTTCCACAGACGAGGCAGTTTAAACTATAAGTTTTTACTTGTTCCGTGTATGTCTTCATTTTTTTTGGCGTTTCACTCGTTTGTTTGAGAAACTTGAAAAAAGCACTCTGCACCAACTGCTTGAACTCATCGGACTTTTCAGGTGGTTCAGGCTTTTCAAGACGAACATTATCTTCAAAGTGGTCGCCCACCACATCATCAGGATTTCCATCTGAATCATCTTGGACTCTTGGAAATTTTTTGGAACTTACCTTTTTCAGCCATGGGAGTCTATCATGAATCTTTGGAGGAGGTCCCAACCTCTTCTCCAATGAAGGTTTATATTTCTTTACCATCCGCTGAGAAACATGAAGCTTTTGAGGACGTGGTCCCAACCGCTTCTTTATGTCTCTGGTACCAGACACATGGTGATTGTTCGAGTGATTTGCTACAAATTTTTCCCAGGATGACTGATAATTGGCCACCTCACTTGATTCACTTGTATTCACAAAATCATATTTTCTTGATTTGAATTTATCTGACAAACTTACAGGATTCACATCCTCTCCTCCACGCCATTGATGGTAACTCTTGCGAATACTCTTCCTACTGACATCATGCTTGTGCAATTTCTCACCCATAACATGCTTTCCCTTGAGCTTCCTCTCAGATGCTTTAACTGAACTCAAATCTCTTGCAGCCAACCTCTTGTGAAAGCTATTATCAACTCGGTCAGGGTCATATTCTTTCGGTTGCAACACGTCTGATCTTTCTTCATGACTCCATGGGCCACCATCCATCTCATTACTATGAATCTCTCGTGGTTCAATGCTTCTATAGTTGTGATATAATTCCCTATCGTAACTCAGGAGCATACTACCGCAACCTGATACTTTGTCATCTTGTTCTCTTGCATACAAGAATCCACGTGCATCAGAATAATTATGGGTCAACTCTCCTCGTGAAGAAGTATGATGATTCCAAAGTTCATCATCTCCTAAACGTCTTCTAGACGATTCATCAATTACATCTACGGGATACATAAAGTCAGTTCTTGAAGTATCCTGGCTTCTGTATTCTTTAACATCCATTGTTGTTTTTCCATATGGTAATCCACTGGACCTTGTACTCGACGAGTCGGTGTGGCTTCTACCAAATGCTGGATAAATATGAGCTCCATGTCTCTCTAGTGAGCCAAAATATGATTTTGAGTAACTCGTGATATCTTGAGAAGTCATGGGAGACCTATTTTGTGATTTTTCACCAGAACCCCCATCACAACCAATAGTCTCAGAAGTCATTCCAGTCCTCATTCTTGTACCATCTGATGGCAATGGCACATATAGGTCTTCCCTAGACGAGAAACCAGATGACCCCTTGGCATAATCCTTGGGCCGAGTTGATGACATTGTATGGTCAAAATCACCTGATAAATAGCGTCTTAAAGATAGGAGGTTATCTTCCCTGTTGTACTTGTACATTTCTCTATCAATTGGTCTAACGTACTCATCCAGATTAATAAGCTCATCTTCAGGACGAAAATGTCCATCTTTTTTACTCAAATGACAGCTGTCCCTAGAGTGAATGTCTCCACCTTTTTTCGCCAAATGAAGCTCATCTACAGAATTAAGGTCACCGCCATCATGAGTATCGCTAATCAAATATTGCAATTCTGAAGATGGCGCTGGACGAGCACTAATGTCATAACCACCTAAACTTTTAGGTAGACCATCGACACCAACACTATCCAAAGCATATGAATCAGTGTACCTGCTCTGTGTCCTCTCAGTTTCCAGGGGACTAGGCTTGCTACCACCCAAATAGCGAAACTCTGCAGGCAATCTAGATTGACCCTTATCCAAATATTGATTCCCTGGATAATAATCTTTCTCATCATTCACTCTTGTGACATTAGTATCGCTAACACCCCGGTAGTCATTCACATTATCTTTCACATTGAAGCCATCAGAGTTTCGAGGATTATCTAAACCATAATTCTGCCGAAACTTCATCGAAGCAGAGTCCCCAATCAATGAGTCCTCTCCATACAATCTCCGAGAATGTCCAACACCATCCTTGTACCTATAGCTATCACTCTCTCTATCCCTCTCTCTATCTCTATCATGATAATCTGAGACTCTCACAGACAGCAAATCGAGATCTCTATCCAAATGATCCCTCCTTTCCGTTCTCCTAGACCTCTCGGTATACTGCATACCATCTGTGGCATGCAAATCATCAACGTTACGTTGATAGGATGAATACTCCTGGCGCCGGGACGGTGAAAAATCCCGACACCTCAGTGTTCGACGCTGAGGCGATGGCGATCGAACTCGACTGTCCAAAACGTATCTCCTTTCTCTCGTCATTCCACTAAATCAACGACAGAATCTAATACACCTTTCTCTTCTTAACCGATTGTATACTCAAATAGATGGTCTCGTAAATGTAGCATTACATAATAATCAGTGAACATAAAATATCGAACTGAGGCATTCGAATCCTAAACATAGAACACCAAAATATTTAGTGGAAAATGAACCCAACACACCAATCTTAGGTTTCTTTTTTTTTCTTTTTTTTTTTTCTAAATCAACAAGATTTTGATATTTGTTCAGAAATAACATCGAACCTTTAGGATTGAAGATCCCATTGTTCTTTTTCAGTTTTTTTGCTGCGTTTTCAGCGAGATACGATCATTTGTCGTTAGTGGGATAGATAACTGTGGTTATGTAAGCGTGAAAAGGAAATGGAAACTGGGTTTCTGGGGAAGTTTATTTAGGGCAAAATGGAAGAATCAGTAGAGAATTTGAAGGGATTTCGTTTCTTGTTTAATTTGGGGATAATTGGAAAACACGTAAAGTAGAACGAGAAAAGGTTAAAAAGCCAAACTTTCGATTGTTAAAAGCGAAAGCCCGAACTTTATAATTTTAGAAATGGGCCACGTCATTGGGCTTGAGGTCAAAATCAAGTAAAGAAGGCACCTGTTTACCACACCAAACCCAACTAAGGCCCAATAATATGGGCCAGAACGGGTTGAGAGCCACACAAGAAAGCCCAGCATCAAAGATGGATTGGAAATTCTCCACAAGAAAAACTTCTGGTCGTATATGCACACACATTAGGACCAACTATTTACCTTTTAAATCATGACGCTTTAACATTTGCAGTTGTAAGAAAGAAACAAAGTGGAGCTCAGATGCCAATATGGCATGATTCAAATTATTCAAGATTCGATTTGTCGTGATCTAAATAAACAGTCTTATATGTATACGTATAGGACCATCTTACTGAAGTCTTTCTTATACACCACAAGCAGTTAAAGGAAGGAATAGTTCCCTGGGCCTACAAAGAGGAATGGCCCACGTAGCTAAATGTTCTCACCAAGGTGTAGGGAAATTTGATAATTGTACATACTGTTAAACATCAACAAAAATCATTGGTAGAGTTTGAATTATACTTTAGCATCCTGACAATCAACATTATAATCATGATCGTGATTGAAATGGTGGTGGAGTAATGCCTCCTGAATCTATCTACGACCTTTAGTGTTTCTGCTACTTCGACGGATATGTGCAACATGAAAAGTGAGGGCGGGGTTGTCTCCCCCGTTTTACCTCCGGTGTGAAAATCAGTAGATGTGTGAGGAGAAAATAAATTCGGAGTTCAGATAGCTAAAAAATATGCAATCATTCATTCCTGTATCGCCTTTGGGAGGTATTTATAGACGTCAGAAGCCGAGTGAGAGCCGGGTGGCTGTGGTGCCACGTGTNTCATTCATTCCTGTATCGCCTTTGGGAGGTATTTATAGACGTCAGAAGCCGAGTGAGAGCCGGGTGGCTGTGGTGCCACGTGTCCCACGTTGACCTTTCCATTATCCCCACGTTCTGAGTCGAGGGTTTTAACTGCTCCATGGAGGTTCGTGGTGACCGTCATGTAACTTTGTTAATTCATTAGAGATTTTAAGGTTAAGTGTGGAGATGACCTTATAGGTAATTCCATGTTGGTCGCTGGTCTCGCATAGAGGTAGAGCGCCCCTAGGGGTCGAGGTCTCTCGTGGAGGTAGAACGCGCCCAGGGGATGCACGATTTCTTGTAGAGGTAGAGCGCTCCCGGGGGGTTGACGATCTCTTGTAGATGTAGAGAGCCCCAGGGGGTCGACGGTCTCTCGTAGAGGTAGACGCACCCGGGGGGGTTGATGACCTCGCATTGGTGTGTCATGATTTATATTGCATATCTTTAGAAACGATTTCTTATATTAACTGATATCATTAGCCCCCTACTCCTGGTCGATATTTTTTCGACAGCGGAATAGCAACTTCCTTTATATGAATTTTAATTATTTTATTTATTTTTTTAAATAAAATTAAATCAAGTGAACAAGTCGAGCAGTGCAATTTGGTTCAGGTAGCTATTCCACTGTACACTTGGCACCCAATCAATGGGCATGATCTTGGAGGGAATTTTCCCCCCAAAAATTTTGAATCCCTTTTGCTTATAAAAGTGAGTGGTCCCTCACATGTGAGCCACCTTCTTCTCCTCCAAACATTTTAGTTCTTCCTCTCTTTCAAGGTTTCCTCTTTTTCAAGGTAATTTTCTCCTCTTTTCTCTTCAGTTTTGTAAAATCATGTACAAAACTATCCTCTCTTCTTCTTCTTCCGATGAAAATAGTGATGAGGGACCGATCGACGTCGGAAAAGATCCGACCAACCCCCGTCGCCTATCCACACAGTTGGTTGGTTCAGCCTCCCCCTCTGTCTGATGGGTTTCCTTGTGAGTCTGATAGCCAAATCCTTTCAGTTGATTCTCAAGCATTTATTTCAAATTTCCCCAAGAGACATATTGGCTCCACCAAGTCTCCAAACCAAAACTTAGAAATCGAACGAGACCCGGTTGGCGAGGTCGTCCCCCTTGAAATTCCAAAAAGTTATAGCCTTTGCCTTTACAATTCTTCACTTAAGCTAGAGAAATGTCTTGCTAGGTATGACCGGGTCGACGACTTTATCTATAGAGCCCCCGGTCTTAAAGAGAGGCTCCCTGGGTCCGATCCCCGTGAGATAGCAGGGTATAAGGACATCATGGATGGTGGTTTCCCGCTATCCATTCATCCTTTCTTCATGTTAATTTTCAATGAGTTTCATCTCATTCCTAGTCAAATAAATCCCAATGCTTGGAGAAAAGCATTGTATTTCTTGTATGTTTGTCTTAGGAGAAGAATTCCGCTTTCCATGGACCTCTTTAGGTGTCTTTGAGATGCATGATTAGCTCAGTGCAATGCGTTTATCTTTTTTCCCGCTAGGGTCCCTTTGCTATTTCCTAAGTTCAGGAATTTGAATAGCAGTTGGAAATCTCGGTTTTCTTTGTCCAGCCGTCAGTAGCTTGGTTTCCTTTCAATACCTATTGGTGGCATCCTCAAATTCGCCTTTTCAATAGTCAAGTCGAAGCTTCCTCTGCTCTAAAAGCTCAAATTCAATAGCTGGTTGATATAACCCCCTCTCGCGCCTGACTTAGGATCGGTCCTAACCATGAGGAACATGTTGATAGTGGGGATGAGTCATCCTACTGGTAGGCTGCTTCCACCGATTCCTGTTATTCTTGACTTGCACATATTTTTTATTTGTTGTTTTTTTGGACTAATCTATTTGGGCATGTGCATACAAATATGGACTTCGATCTGGACGAGGTATTGAAGACCTTGCCAGGAGGTGATGAGGGTCTCGCTCCCATTGACGGTAAACTCTTGAGCTTTCCTTCCTAGTTTTGTGTTCTCGCACTCTTTTGTTTTGCGAGCTTGACGAGCCTTACTTTGCATGTACAAGGATGTAATTTGATCTGGAGGAGACCATAGACTCTATGTCCGAACAAGGGCATGGAAGTGACACTGAGCCAAGCCCCACCCCCTTAAAGAGGAAAAAGATGGCTAACTAAGGGGGAAAGTCTCAAGTAGCAAAAGAGACTCCCCAGTCCCCAGACGAGCCTATCGAGGTTGCTCCTATTGCTAGGTCAGGCTCTTCCAGTCGCACGCGGGGGGAGCGTGCAATGGAGGTGCTTAAGTCTTTAGTGACACCCGCGCGGGCCAGGGTGATAGCAGGACATAGCGCAGACGACATCGAGAGGGCTGCGACGGTCTATCTCCAGAGGGTATGTTTCTAATTCTATTATTATTATTATCATTATTTTTTTCTACGCTGAGTATTATTTTTTGCGCATGGTTATACCACCGACTCTCATATTGTCTTTTTATCTTTTAGGTGGTGCCCCTTCAAATCGGGCTTGCTGAATCTAGTCGTCGTCAGCCTTAGAGCTGAAGACTCTTGCAGAGTAAAAGAAAAAGGAGGCTCATCACTACAAGTAGAAGATATCTTCCTTAAAGAAATCTCTAGAGGCATCGGAGGCTCGAGCCCGCATGCAAGAGACAAAGAACAACAATTTGCTGTCTGTGTTGGCTCGTGCTCCGGAGGAGGCGGTTGAGAGGTATAAGGCCTCTGCCGAGTATACTAGGGACTTGGAGGCATTTGTTGAGCAATACAAGTCATTGTCTGATTACGCCAGGGCCTTGCATTCATACGGGGAGAAGGTGATGGCGGTGTCCATCAAGCTAACCAAGGAGTGGATATCAACCGAGCACCCTTCTATTGTCCCTTCAGGTTTTGATAAGTTCCTTGCGCAGTGCAAGGGGAAGGAGAGTGGGGCGCAGTCATCTAGGTCACTTGGTCCTTCATTGCGGGGTGACAGTGGTGGTGTTTCCCCCTGGAGTTGAAGCATGGCTTAGTGGTAGCTCCTTTTGTTAGTTCCCCTCCTTTTTTTGTCGCCTTTTATTTCTATTTGTAGCATCATTTTATACTTGCCCGAGGTGTGAGCAAGAGTATGTATATCACATGCTTTTGAATGAATGCTATGTTATCAGCGGTTATTGATGTTAAAACTTGTTTCTCCCAATGTTATTTCTCATGTTCAGTTGTTTGATAGCGTGGGTGAATGTCATTAGTCCCCCGTGCTTGATTACAATGATTGATGGCCCTAGCCTATGCTCTGACCATTTAGGTCTTTCTGCCTAGCCATGTGGGCCGAGACGGAGTTGAGAGAGGAGTGTATTGGTTAGGATCCTTAGCCGATCTTTTGGCTTTTCAAGGCTCTCCGCCTTGCTGCATGAGCTACGTCGACCGTCGGGAGGTGGTCCGGTGGTTTAGGGCCCCGGCCAGTTTTTTTGGCTTTCCAAGGCTCTCTGCCCAGCCTCGTGGGTTATGTCGACCGCAGGGAAGTGATCTAGCGGTTTATGGCCTTAGCCAATTTTTTTACTCTTAAAACTCTCCGTCTAGCCGCGTGGGCTATGTTGATCGTTTGGTGGTTAAGGACCTTAGCCAATTTTTTGACTTTCCAAGGCTCTCCGCCTAATCTCGTGGACTATGTCGATCGTAAGAAGGTGGTCTGACGGTTTAGGGCCTTAGCCAATTTTTTTATTTTCCAAGGCTCTCCGCCTAGTCTCGTGGGCTATGTCGACCATGGGGAGGTGGTCTGGCGGTTTAGGGCCTTAGCCAATTTTTTTATTTTCCAAGGCTCTCCGCCTAGTCTCGTGGGCTATGTCGACCGTAGGGAGGTGGTCTGGCGGTTTAGGGCCTTAGCTAATTTTTTGACTTTCCAAGACTCTTCGCCTAGCATCGTGGGCTATGTCGACCGTAGGGAGGTGGTCTGGCGGTTTAGGGCCTTAGTCAATTTTTTGATTTTTCAAGGCTCTTCGCCTAGCCTCGTGGGCTATGTCGACCGTATGTCTTCACGGGATGAACGTGGAGATTCAAGATTGTCTGTTAGCATAAAAAATACTTGGATTCGTGGGCTCAGTAGGCGCACCGGGACGTCCCAGCGAGGATGGCCTTTCCGTAGCGCCCTCATCATCCGACACTGCCAAGGTCTTTCATTGAATAAGATAAGTCATTACACCTAAGGGCGCCTTCGTAAGGCGTTACATAGAGAAAATGAACAATGCAACCTATTCTATTGTATTTACAAAAGAAACAGCCTATCTTTCTAATTGGCGGGTCTACTAATAGTACTTTTTGAGATGTTCCGCATTCCATGGCCTGTCCATTGGCTTCTCTTTCATATCTTTTAGACTATAGGCTCCTTTTCCGAGTATGTGGATTACTTCATATGACCCTTCCCAATTCGGCCCGAGTTTCGGTGGGGGGTGTCCTACTGCGGCTGCATCTCTTAGTACAAGATCTCCTGGTTGAAAAACTCTGGATCTTACCCTTCGGTTGAAATATACAGCGTCCCTTTGCTTGTATGCTAACATCCTTATCGCTGCCCTTTCTCTAGCCCCTTCGAGTAAGTCGAGTTCTACCCTAGTGGCTGTGACGTCAAGCTGCTTGGCTTTCATTCGACTAGTCTCACTCAAAATTTCGATGGGGACAACTGCCTCCATCCCGAATGACAACTTAAAAGGTGTTTCAACAGTCGATTCCCATAGGGTTGTATGATACGCCCATAATACATTGTGTAACTCGTCCGCCCAACGTCCTTTCTCCTTTTCCAGCCTTGTTTTCAGAACCCATAGTATGGTTCGATTGGTCACTTCAGCTTGTCCATTTGACTGAGGGTGAGCGACTGAAGTCAACCTATGGTTGATGTGGTAGCTTGTACAGAAGGCTCTAAAACTATGGTTGTCGAATTGTTTGTCATTATCTGTAATGACTACTCTGGGTATGCCAAACTTGCAAATTATATTTTTTCAGATGAAACCTTGCACCTTTGTTGTTGTGATTGTGGCCAAGGGCTCAGCCTCTACCCACTTAGTGAAGTAGTCTATGACAACTAGTAAGAACTTCCTTTGCCCCTTGGCTAGGGGCAAAGGCCCCAAGATGTCCATCCCCCATTGGAAGAAAGGACACACCCTAAAAACTGTCATCTGCTGCTTGACTGGAATGTGGATCAAATTTCCATGACGTTGACATGCATCACACTTCCTCACCAACTCCTTAGCATCTTCCTTCATGCTAAGCCAATAATAGTCGTAGTGCCTTGAATGCAAGGGCGGTTGCCCCTTGGTGGTTGCCACAAATTCCTGCATTTATCTCGACTAGCACTTCTCATGCTTTTGTCGACAGCAAACATTTCAAATACGGCACTGTGAAACCTCGCTTGTAAAGCAGTCCATCGATGATGGCGAACGAGGCTACCCGAGCCCTTAGCCTTGTTGCCGCGAAAGCATCTTCCGGCAGCTTGTCCTTTGTGAGATATTCAATCAACGGGTCCATCGAACTTTCCTCATGCTTGACATTTACAACATCAACAACATGCTAGATGCTAGGTCACCATAAGATTTGCACGTTTGCTGTACAGGGCAGATGTCTGGGGTTAGCGGATGCAAGCTTAGCCAATGCATCTGCCCGCTCATTGTCTTTTCGGGAGACCTTCATTATTTTAAACCTGGTGAACCCCTTCTGCAAATTTTTGACCTCCATCAAATACGCTGCCATCTTTCCCTCTTTTGCTTTGAATTTCCCCATCACTTGCCCGACTATTAACTGAGAGTCACTACAAATTTCTACTGAAGTTATCCCAAGTATGGCTACCAGTCCTAAACTCGTGATCACCGCCTTGTACTCGGCATCATTATTGGTGGCTGGGAACTCGAAACGCGGCGAGTATTCCAACTCTTCACCATTTGGCCCTATCATTATGATCCCCGCCCCGGATCCCTCATCGTTTGAAGATCCATCCACAAAATTTTCCAATCTGTCTGTTCCCCTGGCGGGTGCTCGAGAGGAGTGGTGAGCTCAGCAATGAAGTCTGCTAGAGCCTGCACCTTAATAGTCGTCCTTGGCCTAAACTCAATATCAAACTCACTTAACTCGATTGCCCATTTCAACAACCTCCCAGAGATTTTTGGTCGATGTAGGATCTGCTTGATAGGTTGGTCGGTCATTAGTTGCACCGTGTGAGATTAAAAGTATGGTCTCAGCTTTCTAACTGCGATAATTAATGTGAATACTAGCTGCTCAGCCAGGCTATATCTTACCTCTGCGCCCTTCAATACTTGGCTCACATAGTAGACCGATTTTTGCGCCTTTGAGAATTCTTTCACCAGCATCGCGCTGACTGCCCGTGGTAAGACAGCCAAGTAGAGACACAACACGTCTCCCGGGCATGGACTAGTCAAGATCAGGGGCTCTTGTAATGACTGCTTTAGGCATCTAAGTGACTCTTCACATTCCTGGGTCCACTCAAAATTGGAGGAACCCCCTATAGCCTTTAAGAAGTGGTAGCATTTGTCCGCAGCTCGGCTCATGAAACGATTTAAAGCGACTACTCACCCTGTTAGCCTCTGGACCTCCTTCTTACTGGTGGGGCTTTTCATTTCCAGTATCGCCTGAATTTTGTCCGGGTTCACTTCGATGCCCCTTTGCGTGATCATGAAGCCTAGGAATTTTCGTCTTGCAGTACCAAAAACACACTTTTCTGGATTGAACCTCAATCTATTTTATCAGGCAACATCAAACACTTTCTGCAAACAGGTAACATCAAACACTTTCTGCAAACAGGCAACATGGTCATCGGCCTTGGCACTCTTGACCACCATGTTGTCAACATAGGCCTCTACAACATTCCCAATCAACCCATGAAAGACTTTGTTCACCATCCTCTGATAAGTTGCCCCAACATTTTTTAAACCGAATGGCATGGCTGTGTAGCAGTATGTGTCAAAGTTTGTGATGAATGACGTCTTCTCCTAATCGAACTCGGCTATTGAAATTTGATGGTACCTGGAAAATGCATAAAGCTGAGCCTTTCATGACCCGATGTGGCGTCCACCAGGTGATCTATCTTGGGAAGCGGGTGTGAGTCTTTTGGGCATACCTTGTTCAACCCAGTATAATCTACACACATGCGCCACTTTCCATTTGACTTCTTCACAAGGACAATGTTTGCCATCCACCCGGGGTACTGTACTTCTCGAATAAAACCCCTCTGTAGCAATTTTTCTACTTCTGCTCTGGCTGCGGCCTGCCTTTCCGGGGCAAGATTTCTTTTTTTTTGCTTCACCGGCTTAGCCCCTGGTTGGACACCAAGATGGTGCTGCGTGATGGTTGGGTTGATCCCTGAGATGTCTTTTGGGCCCCAAGCGAAAACGTCCAAGTTACTGGCTAGACATTTGTCAATTTTTCCTTCTCTTCGGATTCCAGACTTGTTCCAACACTAAACTCCCGTCCCTCGACTATAAAGATTTTTTTAGTCATATCGAGCGGCTCGATCCGTCCCCTTGGGAATTTTACATCCAGCATCATGATTGGTGGTGAGCCTTTAGCCTGTATACTATCCACATAGCATTTCCTTGATGCATGATGGTCCCCTTACACGCACCCGACTCCCCTGCTAGTTGAGAAATTCATAACCTGATGGTATGTCGATGGGACAACACCAGCTATATTTAGCAATGGCCGGCCATAGATGGCATTGTAGGTCATAGGGGTCTTGACAACCAAGAAGTTAGTTACAATTACCACTGTCGCTAGATATGTGCCTAGCGTAAATGGAAGCTCCACAGTTCCTTCCGGTATCACGGTTGCTCCTCCAAAGCCTTGTAGAGGGATAGTCACCATCTTCAACTTCTCGGGGGAATCTTTAGACCCAAGAAGGCATTCCAGGTGAGGACATTCGTCTCACTTCCCCCGTCAACTAGCACTCTCTTCACGTCAAAATCCGCTATATCGCCTACTATCACTAAGGCGTCATCATGGGGATGCGTTATACCGATCAAGCCCTCTTCGTCGAAAGTAATGCTTTGGTTGAACCTAGCTTTTTTCTGGATTGAGCAGACCCCCACGGAACGCGCATAGCTCTTTCTAGCAGAATTTGAGTCGTCGCCCGACGCTACATCCCCGATGATCATATTTATTACTCCTACCCTTGGCGGGGGTCGATCATCGAGCCTTTGCTTGCCCCTGTCGTCTTTTACATACTTAGCCAATAGTCCTCGCCCTAGTAGGTGCTCGATTTTCTCCTTCAACTGCAGACATTTTTCGGTATCATGTCCGTGATCTTTATGAAAATGGCAGTACTTATTTTGATTTCTCTTGCTGGAGGGAGTCAGCATCGGTTTTGGCCATTCGAGCTCTTTCATGTGCTGTATTTCCATTAATAACTTTGTACGTGGGACGTTCAAAGGGGTAGGCGCTTGTACCTCCTCTCGCTTCTGCTTAACTGATCGGTCCTGAGTATAACCCTTATTCATGCGTTCATTCTTCGACTTGTTCTTATCATCGTGCCTCCGCTCATCATTTGTCTTTCGCTTATGAGCTTTTGTCTCCCATCCATCCCTGAAATTTTTAGTTACCTTCTTCGCTTCCTCTGCATTGACGTACTTGTCTCCCTCCTTCAACAGGTCATGCATCGACTCTAGGGGATTCTTGGAGAGTGACATCTGAAAGGCCCGATTTCGCGTTCCATTCATCAAGGCGGTAACCACTGCAGACATTTGCAAGTCCTTTATGCAAAGAGTGGCCCGGCTGAACCTAGCCAAGTATTCCTGCAATGACTCATCCTTCTCCTATACGACCTGCATCAACCCAATAGCCGTCTTCCTCTTCCTCTTGTTGCTTAGGAAATAAGCCACAAAGCTCCTAGAGAGTTCATAAAACATCTTGATAGACCGCGGGGCCAAGGTTGCTACCCAGTCCTTGGCCTCCTTCCTAAGTGTGGAGGGAAATGACCGGCACATCACTGCGTCCGGGGTCGCGTAAAGTCTAATCAAATCTACAAAGGTCCGCAAGTGGTCAAGCGGATCCGTGACTCCATCAAATGCTTCTATCATGGTCTGGTTGAAGCCTTTAGGTAAGAGGACCGCCATGATCTCAAGTGCAAATGGGTCTTCCTCCAAAACCATCTGCCTCCACCTATCCTTCCTCTTGGATAGTGCATCATTTATCTTCTGGGCCATGATTTCTTCCATCTTTTATTCCAGGTCCACCATGGCCTGCCGGGGCTACTGAACTACGACCACTGGAGCCCCCGAGTCTCCTATCGCCTACTGAACGATGGGTGGAACTACCACGGATGGCGCTTGAGACGGCTGATGGTTTGTCGCTTCTGTCGGGCTCAATGGGGGGACCGCGGCTCTCTGCGACTGGTTTTGTAAGAGCGCCATCATTGTTGCCAACTGAGTCTCCAAAGCGTTGAATTGACTCTACATCAAATATTGCGAGGGCGGAGGTGGTTCGTAACCCCTCGCAACTGACTCCAACTCCATCTCCGCCGTATTCCCAACCAAATGAGTGTCACTTCTTGTTCATCTTCTCGACATAGCTTTTTAGTTCAAATTTTTCCCACAGACGGCTCCAATGAAATGGTGGTGGAGTAATGCCTCCTGAATCTATCTGCGACCTTTAGTGTTTCTGCTACTCCGACAGATATGTACAACCTGAAAAGTGAGGGCGGGGCTTTCTCTCCCGTTTTACCTCCGGTGTGAGAATCAATAGGTGTGTGAGGAGAAAATAAATTCGGAGTTCTAATAGCTAAAAAATATGCAATCATCCATACCTGTATCGCCTTTGGGAGGTATTTATAGACGTCAGAAGCCGAGTGAGAGCCGGGTGGCTGTGGTACCACGTGTCCCACGTTGGCCTTCCCATTATCCCCACGTTCTGAGTGGGGGGCTTTAACTACCCCCACGGAGGTTGTGTTCGTGGTGACCATTATGTAACTTTGTTAATTCATTAGAAATTTTTGGGCTAAGTGTTGAGATGACCTTATAGGTAATTCCATGCCGATCGCTGGTCTCGCATAGAGATAGAGCGCCCCCAAGGGGTCGATGATCTCTAATAGAGGTAGAGCGCCCCCGGGGGTCGACGGTCTCTCATAGAGATAGGCACCCCCAGGAGTTCGACGGTCTCTCGTAGAGGTAGACGAACCCCGGGGGGTTGATGACTTCGCATTGACGTGTCATGATTTACATTGCACATCTTTGAAAGCGATTTCTTATGTTAACTGATATCAGTGATAATAAACTCAATAATGAACACCTTGTGGATCTTTTTGCATGTAATCAAACTTGACCTATCCTCGAGTGGAAACATTTTCAAGTATCCTCTTTATGGAATGAATATATTTTGGTTAGATCTCTCTCTCTCTCTCTCTCTCTCTCTCTCTCTCAATGCAAAAAAGTAAAGTTCACCTCTTTGCCTTAATACTTCAACTACTTTAGCTGCTTTTTTTTTTCTTTTTTTTTTTTTTTCTTTTAACTATACTCGAAAACACAAGATGGAAAGTTTAGAAAACACTGCGTTTCCATAAAGGGTGCAGGGAAATTTGATTTTGAACATGGTGACATCATAGGGCCTGTTAAATGATGATGAGTTATGCATTTGAATGTCATTAATAAAAGTTATTATCTCCTTTACGCAAGAAGAGTTCTCAAGGGTAATTATTAAAAAGATTCACAATCAAAAACATTTTCCTTCAATTTTAAATTAGCTTTGACGTATATAAATTTCGTGACTTCATGTGACAAAATTTAAGTACTTCAATAAATTTGAGGTCAACTGGATGATTTTTTCTCTTTTGGCTATTTCATTTGCAAGCTAAATTACAAGGAGATTGTCCAATAATTCTTTTTGTTGTCATAGTCAATCTAAAGTTCACGTCGGATAAATTAGAGGCTCTCATTGATTTGGTCAAGAAGAGGCTCGTCCGCCAAAGTATTCAAACAAGACAACTTGAGAGCTTGTTCCAACATCTCCAATTACGGCAAAAGTCAAGGTCGGACTATAGGAGATTGCTTTGTATATCACTTTTTTCTTAAGAAAAATCAAATTATAAATTCTTAACTGGATTTTGGAGGAAATAAATAAAGTTTTGATATAAAATAAAAAATGAAAATCCAAAAAAGCTAAAGATTCTTGAACAAGTGTAAGCATGAAGGTCAATGATTACTGATAAAGGAAGCTAGCAGTTTTCATTTGTAGTTCTTTCTTGGCTCTTAAGGCTTTTGATTTAATTCAGTGTAGATGACCTCTGATTGTCTACTCAGGAAGGAACCTTCCAGCTCAAGTGTCACATATCAAGGATAAAATAAAATATGTCAATGGAAACCTTCCAACAAATTTTATGTGCAATATTGGTCCTCACAAACTGTCATGGATAAAAAAAATACGAAATTATGAACTAATATACTTTTCCTTCAACAAAAATTAGAAAAATATTGCAGAACGATAATGTCAAAGTATTTGATGGAAACCGTCGTTGGGGACCACAGCGGGTAAAAGTGACAACGCGGTCAAGAAATAAAGGTTGGAGATAATAATGTTAAAAATAAAAGAAAGTGCACACTTAACCATGTGAATGAACTAAAGGGAGGGATCGACAACTAAATTTTTTTTCCAAATTCTTATATTCATGGATATCTATGTAGGAGAATCTATTGTATTCCAGTTTTAGCGGTGTAGTGGCTAGCAAAATCTGCCAATGTACCTACTCGAGAAAACAGTTGCTTTACCAAAAGAGGACTATATAGACATTGTCATCAGATTTTATTAAGAGATTGTGATGCTAATTAAAGGAATATATTTGAACAAAATTTTCACGCAAATGATGGAAAAGAAATCTATTTTATAATTCTGAATGTAATTACCCCAAACTTTCTCATCATAAGGTCACTAGTGTCATTACCCTCATTGCAAAGCAACATGGTTTCATATCTTTAAAGCCAGTCCTCCTTGTTAAGCATCTGTAACAGGGAAAAGAGAAGCATCATTCAAAACCGTAAAGGCATACAAGATTGACGGCCAACTTTGAACAAAGAGTTATGTCAATACAGAAACAGACTTTGGAGCAGCAAGAATCGCAAATGATGCACTTGAAGAATTCTGGATTGATCAATTATACTGCGAGTCCTTTACTGAACGATGAAAAAGAAGAGGAGATGACGAGATCAGCTCTTGCAGCATTCCATGCTAAGGAAGAAGAAATCGAGAGGAAGAAAACTGAGATCCGAGAGAAAGTCCAGGCTCAGTTAGGCCGTGTTGAGGAAGAAACCAAGAAATTGGCTGAAATTCGTGAAGTAAGTTGGAGTTTAGCAGTAATGATTTTGTCAATCGTATGAATAGGATTCTTTCTTTGTGATTTGATCAAGATTCTTGTTTGAACATTGGATTTTTCAGTCACTATGGTACAATAGCTTGATCATGGTGTGTCTATTCTATATTTTCTTTATTGATGAAATGATTCAAATTATGTTCATGTTTGTTAAACTCAAATCTAGTAGGAGCTTGAAGCTCTGACAGATCCAATGAGGAAGGAAGTTTCACTTATACGTAAGAAGATTGACCTGATTAATCGAGACTTAAGGCCATTGGGACTAAGCTGCCAGAAAAAGGTGAAGTATTAGCTTTTTCGAGCTCAGAGTGAATATCTTTTAGTTAAGAATTCAGATTTTTAACTCAACAAATTGTGAGTCTGAACGAGCCTTTTTTTGTTCAATCAATAGATAAAAGGGACCTCTAGTTAATTATATGCCGATAAACTTTTTTTTAACAAAATTTACCTTTTTTCCACAGGAAAGAGAGTACAAAGAAGCCCTTGAGGCTTTTAATGAGAAGAACAGGGAAAAGGCTCAGCTGATTACCAAACTAATGGAGGTAAATCTATCCTAGCTTTTGCAAAAAGCATAACTGAAATCATTTTACCTTATTTAATATTTTTTTTTTCTAATAAATTGTTGACCAGTTGGTATCGGAAAGTGAGAAACTGAGGATGAAGAAACTGGAAGAGCTGTGCAAGAATATGGAATCCCTTTACTGAGATATGTTAACAGCACGATTCAAGAATTCATTGATTGCAATTAGTACTGTAAACATTGAAGTTTATTGTTATTGTTGGTTTCTGTCTTTGTATTTTCTAATTTGTTCTTTGAAACTTTTCTTCTGGATTATGATTTACAATCCCTTTAGTGAAGTTTTTATCAAATCCGAGATATATCCCTTAAATTTTACAATGCTTCAGCTTCTTTCTTGCAAACTGTATAGATTTTGTACATCGCTCCTCTCTCTATAGGCTTTATAATTGCTTAAACGAAGTGGCAAGGATGGTCATCTAGCCGTGCTTTGGAAAATTAGCGCGATCAAGTTTAAGTCAAAAGTAAAATTTCATAATTGATAAATGCATCAGTTGTCTGCTACTTATCGCTTAGTGATCATTCTTAAAGATCTCCGAGTTCTGCTTATAAGTTCTTCTATATATATGTCTCCATTATCGGCTTCATGTTTTAGGGAACGTTTAGACTGGGCAATCGCATCCATCAATTGGACCTCACTGTACCATGATGCTAGGGTGAGGCACCTCTCTCATTTTTGTTCAGATCATTGCTTTACTTATCTATTCCCATAGGAATAAATAAACAGATCTCCTAGCTGGAGAGCTATCAAAGAACCACAGGGAATCGATTAGCTCTCGTCATATAATGAAGTTCACTCATTATTGAGTCAGTCACTGTCTGGTCCAAAATTCCAAGCAAATCCATGACGTCTCGATAAAAGCACTTTATTTGTTTGGGAAGAAACATAATTTTGATAGTTGGAATCTCCAATAGGGCAAGCATTAATATACCCGGGTGGGAAACATCTCGATGGAAATCGGGTGATCCCATGAAAGATATCGAGATTTTCTTTAGAGAGAAGGTAGCCCTTTGTCATCTCACGAGTAGGACTCGAACCAGTACCTCTAAAGTCAATAAAAATCACTGACAGAAATGACCTAGATCAAGATAATGTAGTCCAATCTTCGTTGGAAACTATAGGCTGTCATTCAGCTTAGCTAACCAATATGTCGTGTGTCAAAAGCCTCGTCGATCCCAATGAATCACAATTCTGGTCTCTCTTCACTCTCCACCTAGACACTGCATGAAGCTTGTAGACTCATTAAGCTCTTTAATTTGACTTGTCAAAGAAAATTTGTTTTGCACCTATATATTAATATGCGGCCAAAAAGTTTATATTACACTTATAAATTACGTGGCATGCACGTGATGGAATGGATTCCATATATGCCGACATGGCATCGACTATTCAATTGATTGAGCATATTTAATTAAATAATAGCATCTTAGGATTGGATTAGCCTAATTAATAAAGTAACATCATATTAGGCTTGGAGCACGGCCCATCATGCCCACTATTCCATTTATTTCTTTATATATATGAGTATTCATTTCATAATAAGGGATGTTACTCTAACCCTAGCCAAACCTTCTCTCCCATCTCTTGCACTCATAGTTCTCTTATCCGGCCGTTGACTTGATCGTCAGACCTTTTTCTTGACCGGTGACCTTTGCTTTCTAACAAGATGTTCAGTGTGCCAGTGATACCCACATGGAGAGAACGTAGCCGGGATTCTATTTGCAGATTTTTGAGGTCAATAATTTACATTACATTCTATTGACAAAGACATGCTGTCATTTGTGAAATAATAATGAACACTCGTTCCCATCGTGATAGTTTACCGCATTTGAAGGGATTACTAATAATCTATGATAAGGGCTTTAACTATCTTCCTAAAGAAAAAGGCTTCATAGGTTGTGATCGTTAGGACACCTAACATATCTTGAGCAAGAAGCCCCCTCACAGGTTATTCATAGTCTGGATTTCTAGGATTTGGAAAGGAAAAGTCAGTTCACCTGTTTCAAGTTGGTCACTCCGTCTGTACTCTATCGCTTACTTTAACAGAACTGTTGTCTGTTAAAAGTGCGACATGGAAACTCCATAGCCTCGAGGAATGAACTTCAACCACAATGACTAACAAATCCTCCAATGCTTGAATGCCTTAGAATCTTCACCTGGGGTGTCTGTCCTTCAACTACCATGCCTCTTTCTCCAACCCTCTTTCGAAATCCTTCAGGTGGTGCATAGTGTAAGTCGATTTTTTCACCTCCATGAAACCTAAACGCCCATACGAAATTTAGACTGCTAAGTTCCAACCCATACACTATCTCCTCAACGTCTTTGTTGGAGAGAAAAACTCACTCCAAAGGAGACAAACACTAGTGATTGAGGTTCCTTCTTGCCAGGCCAATTCATCAATACCGAATGTGTCAACTGGATCCTGAACAGAATCCCAAGAGAAACTACCTCTTTTCTTACTAATGCAGAGAAAATGTTGATGTACTTAGCTTCAATCTCATAGGATGTCTTGACGAGTAAAAACTTTGAGGATTCTTCTACGCATACTTAAGAACTTATCCTTGTTCGTGAGGCTATTGGAAACATCATATATAAACTGAACAAGTTTCTGACTCTGAATTTGTGGAAACTTTAATGCTGAAAAAGGAAACTCTGCATCAGGATTAGTAGTATGGTGAATCAAAAATGCACTAGTTGCCGCACCACAAAGAAAAAGGATCGAATTCATGTTTTCCTCATAAGCTACTTCTGGTGCCCCGTGCCCATGCCCGCAAGAAGTCGTATTACAAGGTCCGGTTTGAGTGTATTGAGGATATCACTGAAGTTATCGTCTGCACCATCGAAGGCAGTTTTAGAGGTCCGATATTGGAACAAGAATTACTCGAAAAATTTAAATTTCTTTAATTCGATTTTAATGTGAATGTAATAGGTAACTTAGTTAAGAATCCAAAATTGATAATCAATTATAATTATATTCAAAACTTTGAATTTACTTGTAATTGAGTCCAAAACTTTTTTCGAGATACCATATGACTTTGAATTCCTCTAACTTGTCATATATGTATTTTTTTCAAATGTTTTTTCATTAATTTCATACTTTTTTGACAATTTGATGTTTGAGATGGAAATGACATGTCAAATTCAATAATTTGGATGAAGATGTGAAAAATATGTAAGTTTTAATTTACGAGTGTCAAATCTTTTACATCCTCTAGCAGCACCCATATGGAGTGCTTTGGTTGTTGTTAAATTAAAGTCTAGGGGCTTGATTGCTATAAATTAAAATTTTGTGACCTAAGATTCATCTGAGACAAAAGTTAGGTGACTATAATTTGGATGAAGATGTGAAAAATATGTAAGTTTTAATTTACGAGTGTCAAATCTTTTACATCCTCTAGCAGCACCCATATGGAGTGCTTTGGTTGTTGTTAAATTAAAGTCTAGGGGCTTGATTGCTATAAATTAAAATTTTGTGACCTAAGATTCATCTGAGACAAAAGTTAGGTGACCGTCAATAACAATTAACTATACCAGAGGAAATGGTGGCAGATAGCCACCAAAAACAAACAATTTTCCAAAATGGCTGTTGACTATAAAAATAAAATTGAAAAATATGTAAAAACCTTAAAAACAATGAAAACCTAATATTGCACATAACAAATCACTCTCAAACCAACGTCTGGAGAAATAAGGAGAAGAAATAGCAAGGAAACCGACGACTTTTTCTTGGAAAGAGACCGACCGGCCACCATTAGAGGCGAAGAAGGTAAGTTTTGCTTATTTTTCCCGCACTAATCTTTGAACCTAGATGTTGAAGGTTTATTTTGTTGAAAATAATAGTAGAAATCTTTGTAAATTATGTAAAATTACTAGAAATTGCATATTTTGAGGTTTTTTTGGCCGGAGATCATCGGAGATGGTGATCTCCAGCACTTGAAAACTAGAAAAGGCAGCCTTGGCCGACTGTTTTCTGCCTGGTCCGTTTGTTTTTTTTTTTCCCGTGTGAATTAAATACTTGAAATACACAACAATAAATTATTATTTAAATAATTATTTAATTATTATTTAAATAATAATAATTTAAGTATTATTTAAATGAAAAACGTAAATAATGAATAATAAAAAAGTTTAATAATCAAAATACTTAATTAAATTTTAATTGAAACAAATTTCTAACATTTAAAATAAAGAATTACATATTTACATTTACTTGTTCAATAAATAATTCAAATAATCAATCAATATAAGTAATTAAATCAAATAATTTAAATGAACAATTGAAACAAATAAATAAATAACAATTGGAATAAATAATTAATTGAAATGCACAAAAATAAATAATGAACATTTAAATAATAATTAAATGATAATGAATAAATGTTAATAATCAAAATACATAATTAAAATTTAATTGAAAGAAATTTCTAACATTTAAAATAAAGAATTAAAAATATATATTTACTTGTTCAATAAATAATATAAATAATCCATCAATAGAAGTAATTAAATCAAATAATTTAAATGAACAATTGAAACAAAAAAATAAAAAACAATTGGAATAAATAATTAATTGAAATGCACAAAAATAAATAATTAACATTTAAATAATAAGTAAATGATTATTTAAATGATAAATGAATAAATGTTAATAATCAAAATATGTAATTAAAAAGTTTAATTGTAATAAATTTCTAACATTTGAAATAAATAATTAAATATTTACATTTACTTGTTCAATAAATAATTTAAATAATCAATCAATATAAGTAATTAAATCAAATAATTTAAATGAATAATTGAAACAAATAAATGAAAAGCAATTAGAATAAATAATTAATTGAAATGCACAAAAATAAATAATGAACGTTTAAATAATAATTAAACGATTATTTAAATAATAAATGAATAAATGTTAATAATCAAAAGATGTAATTAAAGTTTAATTGAAATAAATTTCTAACATTTGAACTAAATAATTAAATATTTACGTTTGCTTGTTCAATAAATAATTTAAATAATCAATCAATATAAGTAATTAAATCAAATAATTGAAATGAACAATTGAAACAAATAAATGAAAAATAATTGGAATAAATAATTAATTTAAATGCACAAAAATAAATAATGAACATTTAAATAATAATTAATAGGCTCATCTTTGAGCTGCTAATGCAATCACCAATATGATTGTATCATGCTTAGAAACCGGAACAAAAACTTCTTTGTAATCAACTCCCAACTCTTGCTCACAGCCCTTGGCTACCAGGCAAGCCTTGTACTTGTCAACTTCACCATTCTCCTTCCATTTTGTCATATA